TTGTTAGGGTTTTGCCCTGATTTTCTTACCATAATTTAAGATTTATTTTTCCTTAAAGAAAAAACAAAACATTACCATAAATGTTTTTACTTTTCTTGAAAGGAAAATATAATATTATTTTATATTTGGTTTATTCTCTCCTTTTAGGACTCCTTTTCTAGTAGGAAATGTTTTAGGACTCTATAAATATAGGTTTGTTTCTTCTAACACAATAACAATAACATCCACAATGTAGTCGTTTAAGAGTCTTATTTATGGGGAGATTTATTCTCTCTAAGGTTTCAATGTTTTTCTTTATATTAGTTTTAATATAATAATATTTTGATTTTTAGTATAAGTTTTTGTTATCTGATTTATCAACTATATAATTTGCAAATTGTAAGTTTCCGCATGACGCCCTAATCACCCTTCAGAACCCAACATGTTTGTGTATGTGTTTCAGACAGAATTTTGGTGTTATTTTATTGCTCCTTCCTTACTTCAAAATTCTTGAAAAGGGAATTATACAACTTTAAAGTGTTCAATTTATTTTGTGACAAATCAAATACTTTTATACATAAAATAAAGAGAGTAATACTTACTTTTATTATTATTATATTTCCATTTGGACTTGGTGTAATTTTGACACATTAACTATTCAAATCTTTTTTTCCTTATTTGTACTCTTTATGTTTCTAAAATTGTAGGTTAACACTTAAAATAAATGAATTCTTGGTTTTCAATGTAATATTCGTGCAAAAACATGTGTACAATCTCAAAAAAAAGACATGATGAAACATGTATCTCCTCGTTGCTTTACTGTATGATTTGTCTTTTTTTATTTGCCATAAAATTTTAAAAAGTACAGAATTTTTTTAAAACGTAAGGTTTTAAATATGGCACGTGAAAAATTGGAATTAACAAATTATAAAAAATAAAAAAATATATCCTTTTTAAGCAATCAAAAAACAAAAGTATATAGGACAAACGAATGAAAACTGTATATAAGTTTTTTTATTAAAAAAAACAGAGTAGTGTACAATGAATTATTACCAAGGTGTACGTACTAGGACAAAATGATTTGTGTTAGTCCTCTCTTAGAAATTTCAAAAGATTAAAAAATGCCTCAATTTTTCATTTCATAAAATCTTCACCCTTGCATTTGGAGCTATTCGTTTTTCTCTTTCGTGATTAAACGTGAATCGTGAGAGACAAGCAATTAACTAATATCAATTTTTAATATAAATATTTCTTTTCTTTTTTTTATTCAATACTGAATGATACATATCGTCCTAAAATAAAAAATAATTTCATATTCAAAGTTCGAATACGAAATCTTTATACTTTTAATATGTATATGTGACAACTCAACACTTGTCTAAGTGATAAACTACTATATATAATATTTTCATAAAGACAAGAGGGTATGAAATGGGATTTTAATACACATGGATATTAGTTGTTAAGTTGTAACGTGGTGTATGAGAGAAAGTTGCCTGCTTCCTGTTCAAGTAAGTTGGCTGTTTCATGTTCAAGTATTTCTTCATTTTTTATTATAAATCTCGGGTATGAATCTTCTGAATATAAAATTGTTTTTATTAGAGATAGATTTATCTTTAATGTGAAAATTTTTAATGTAAATTTGAATATAATCAAGCTCCGAAACAAAAAAGAAAAGAGAGAAAGTTGGCTGTTTCCTTCGTTCTAGAGTAAATGTAGTATTAATGATTAGTGAACTTTAATCCGCTATAATAGTTAATCAAAGAGTTAATATATTTATTTTTGCTACTTTAAAGTAATTGAAATTTACTCATATTATAGTGAGGTATAAAATATTTCTTATGATATTAAAGTAATTAAACTTTATCAATTATCACAAATGTTTACCCATTAGATTAACCAATCTCATGTTGGGTAAAGTTAACAACTTTGATGTCATAATAAGTAAAGTTCAATTATTTTAATTGTGAGACAAAATAATTATTTAGCTTACTACTATATAGAGGATAAAGATTAGTAAATTAAATTAAATTAAAAAAATAAAAAATTAACTTCTTGTGCATTTGTTCCCTTTTGATTTTTGTATGTAAATGGAAAAGGTATAATACATAAATATGTTTTTTAATATGGTTTTGGCTTTTGATGGATATCTATATATGTTTTTCAATTTTGACTGTGTATGAATATAATATGTTTTTTAATATGGTTTTGGCTTTTGATGGATATCTATATATGTTTTTCAATTTTGACTGTGTATGAATATAATATGTTTTTTAATATGGTTTTGGCTTTTGATGGATATCTATATATGTTTTTCAATTTTGACTGTGTATGAATATATCTATTTAAATTTAAATTTGTATAAAATTAGACAAGTAAATATATACGCTTTATGTGATGTTCTATGTGTGACAATTCATGTGAGATACACTCAAACTAATTAATAAAATGTTTGTATCTCTTTGTTCAACTTTATACAGATTTAAGTATATACTTGTACATATCTAAAATTAAAAGATATAAATATCAACTAAAATTAAATTAAAAGATACGTTTACCTATAATGTAAAATGAAAAGGTTGAAAAATGC